TGTATTTGTGCTCTATCGCTGTTAACATTTCCAATGTTGTTCATATTCCATATTACAGCTGTACACCACGTATTCGACATTTCGTTTTAGTTCATACGCCCTAACAAATCATGGTATATCTATAATACTTCACGGCAGATATGAACTTTGATTTAACGGTGGACATTTAATGCGATCGGAAAATAGTATCCATCACCGTGTATGAATTGCAGCAATATATATCCAAGAGATTAAGTCGAAAATATCATAAAATGCAATCTATGAAAGTTTCAGCTAAATTCGTACAGCAAAACTATAAAAAATGAATTACAACCAGTGTATATCAGTGTAAGTAACGCAAATGTAAAATCAATAAATACAACATCAACAAAATACCAGAAAACGTTTTGTTTTAAATGTACAGTCAAATGCATCTTTGTGGAAAACATTAATTGACTTTCATTTATGTTTGACCTCAACTATTTTGAGTGAGTGTGTTAGAATTTAACGTATCATCATCACTACTTCCAAATATAAAAAAGTCAAACTTTTGCGGCCATATAACAAATAAGTATCATTGCAACTTGTGTTCCCTAACTTTTGTGACTATAAATTGGAAACAGCGTTCATCAGAATATACTGAACAAAACAAGTATGGGATCATTCATATTTTTTAGGATAGTTTTCATGAAAGTGTGTGCTCAGCCTTCACTAAGAAATATCCCCCAAAATAGGCATGATTTCTAACGTATTTTTTCCAGTATACTTCTCGTTAATCGTTCAATCTAAGACGTTAGCGTTCCTCTCTTGACATCATAATTTAAACGTGAATTCAAATTGTAAGTTTACCATGTATGCTATGCCACCAGATTGGGGAACGATGTGACCCTGCAGTCCATTACATTCTCACCAAGCAAAGAATTTGGTATGGTGACAATTATTTCAATGCAGTTCTTAAAATTCGGGAAAAAGTATATTTTAGTTAAAGGTAGTCTAAGCAAGAATAACACGAGTTAGACTTGAACATGAGACTTCATGCTAATGCTCCACCAATGGATAATCAAGAATGTAATATGCTTCACAGAATGTCATTGAATGATATCTCATGTGGGAGCAAGGATGAAAAACTAAATGAAAGCCCCCATTACCCGATTGATCAGTGTGCTTGCTAGGCTACCGCATGTAAGAACAACACTGTCCCCAAATCAAAACCAACTTTTGATCTCTGAAAACTTCACAACACCTGTTGATCCGCCGTACGCCTATTGCAATTATTGATTTAGTTCTAAATGCTTTTGAAAAAGCTTTTTGGATAAAAACACGATTCGATCAGCTCTGAGTATCACTGAAAGAAAATGTGTTTACAGTCGGGGATTTCAGCAGACGTGCGTGGAGATCTGTGGGCGCTGTAACTTCCCAAATAGATTTTTACATGGAAACAAACACTTTGAAAAAATCGAAATGTAGGACAATTCATGTCAGTTTTTTTTTTCACTTTCAATCTGTGTGAGAGTGGTTAATACTGCGAACAACACTGTGCATATGAATGTCAACGTGTGTTGTGTTGCAGTATTTTTTCCCATAACGGCTGCCGGATATCGTGTTTGGTGACATTTAGACTTCGTGTGTTATCTGCATTTTCAGGTTTCACCTTGTTTATTAAAAAATATGTAATTGAGAAGGAGGAGGAGGAGAAGGAGTAATGAAAACAAATGACTTCTATGTTCCTATTTATCCAAGATCTCTAACCATCTTTTTTTAAAAATACTACCCAGTGCTATCACTAAATCAGATCCATGGACTGCAGGAGAAGACATGCATCGACCTCCTGATTGACTAGCACATGTGTGGAACCATCAGTCAAGTCTCAGTCAAAAGAAGTTACAATCTTGAGAAAAACCTCTATTCTTGTCGGAAATCATTATCAACGACATTAGACGACATTCAAACCGGAAACAGCAGCCTTCTGGACGTCCCCGAGACTACTTTGAAAGTCGTTATTTTGGGGTGGCACATATATCAACTGTTTTAATATACCTTGCCTAGTCCATAATAGTTTTGACTGGGACGCTGCTACCCTTGAAGGAAAACATTACTTCAGCGTCCACATAAAAAAAACGATCGCAGCGTCACCATCATGGAAACACCAATAATGGAACGTTGACGTATTGGCAACCGTAGCGCTACGGTCACGTGGGGATGTACTGGTGATAGTGTAGGCTGCATGACTGATTTACGTGAAATATAAAAAAGTGATAGATCGTGCAGCTTCATGACGTCAGTAAGTATACCGTGCTTTAAAATACTCTATCCGGTGATCGCCAGAAGCACGCCACACCATCTGGGTGCGATACATAGCAGGTTAATCTGGCCACACCGCAGCGTCTGGGTGCGATGCATAGTTGGTCAGTCTGGCCACGCCACCGCGTCTTAGGTGCGATGCATAGTAGGTCAGTCTGGCCACGCCACAGCGTCTAGGTGCGATGCATAGTAGGTCAGTCTGGCCACGCCACCGCGTCAAGATACGATGCATAGTTGGTCAGTCTGGCCACGCCACAGCGTCTAGGTGCGATGCATAGTAGGTTAAACCGGCCACGCCACAGCGTGTGAGTACGATGCATAGTAGGTCAGGCTGGCCACGCCACAGCGTCTAGGTATAATGCATAGTAGGTCAGTTTGGCCACGCCACAGCGTCTAGGTCCGATGCATAGCAGGTCAATCTGGCCACGCCACAGCGTCTAGGTGCGATGCATAGTAGGTCAGTCTGGCCACGCCACCGCGTCAAGATACGATGCATAGTTGGTCAGTCTGGCCACGCCACAGCGTCTAGGTGCGATGCATAGTAGGTTAAACCGGCCACGCCACAGCGTGTGAGTACGATGCATAGTAGGTCAGGCTGGCCACGCCACAGCGTCTAGGTATAATGCATAGTAGATCAGTTTGGCCACGCCACAGCGTCTAGGTCCGATGCATAGCAGGTCAATCTGGCCACGCCACAGCGTCTAGGTGCGATGCATAGTAGGTCAGTCTAGCCACGCCACAGCGTCTAGGTGCGATGCATAGTAGGTCAGTCTGGCCAATCCACAGCACCAAGGTACGATGCATAGTAGGTCAGTCTGGCCACGCCACATCGTCTGAGTACGATGCATCGTAGGTCAGTTTGGCCACGCCACACCGTCTAGGTGCGATGCATAGTAGGTCAGTCTAGCCATGCCACAGCGTCTGAGTAGGATGCGTAGTAGGTTAAACAGGCCACGCCACAGCGTGTGAGTACGATGCAAAGTAGGTCAGTCTGGCAACGACACACCGTCTGGGTGCGACGCATAGTAGGTGAATCAGGCCACGCCACAGCGTGTGGGTACGATGCATAGTAGGTCAGTCTGGCCACGCGACAGCGTCTAGGTGCGATGCATAGTGGTCAGTCTGGCCACGCCACAGCGTCTAGGTACTATGCATAGTAGGTCAAAAAGGCCACGCAAGATCGTCTAGGTGCGATGCACAGTAGGTCAGTCTAGCCACGCCACAGCGTCTGAGTACGATGCATAGTAGGTTAAACAGGCCACGCCACAGCGTCTAGGTGTGATGCATAGTAGGTCAGTCTGGCCAGACGACAGCGTGTGGGTACGATGCATGGTAGGTCAATCTGGACACGCCACACCCTTTGGGTACGATGCATAGAAGGTTAGTCAGGCCAAGCCACAGCGTGTGAGTACGATGCATAGTAGGGTAGTCAGGCCACGCCACAGCGTCAAGGTACGATACATAGTAGGGTAGTCAGGTCAAGCCACAGCGTGTGAGTACGATGCATAGTAGGGTAGTCAGGCCACGCCACAGCGTCAAGGTACGATACATAGTAGGGTAGTCAGGTCAAGCCACAGCGTGTGAGTACGATGCATAGTAGGTTAGTCAGGCCACGCCACAGCGTCAAGGTACGATACATAGAAGGTTAGTCAGGTCAAGCCACAGCGTGTGAGTACGATGCATAGTAGGTTAGTCAGGCGACGCCACAGCGAGTGGGTACGATGCATAGTAAAACAGTCTGGCTATTGCAGGCCATTGCTGGTCATTTGGTCTTCCAAAGGCACCAACAGCCTCAGAAGTATCCAAGATGTAGTAACCACCTAATTATCTTTAAGGTGATATCGTGGGACAAGCATGAAGAACTTTTATCCTATCTGCTCCCAATCGCCAGGAGCGAAAATGTAATAGTCAATATAGTTGCTTCAACAGATCTTGCGGCTCATGATAGGTGTGGCACTTTTGTAAATTAAGGATAATTGTATAATTGTGTTTATTGTTTGCCTAAGTCGTTAACCAGAGTACTCTACCACTAGAGCAACAGTCCTTGAACACTTAATAGCAATAATGTGTGTACTTATATTGCGCTAGACTCCATATACAAGGTCCATGCTCGAAGCGCTGACATTATTACCCCGGTCAATGGATCAGTGTGCACTCGATTTTCATTTTCGGCTCCCTTAGGAGAATACAACCCAAGTTTGCAACAAACAAATTAAAATACGGAACGTTGTGTCAAGTTCCACATGTGTATTCTTAGTGTACATGGCTAAGAGACACACACGTAAATGTCGCAGCCTCTTTATTTGGCCATACAGTGTGTCATGCCAGTGGATTGAAATATATTGCATTGACACGCGGCCAGTTCTTCCCAGGGATGCACGAGAAGCCAAAGTATTTATGGTTTATGAACACACAATGCCATTTAGAAAGTGGTTAAATATAACAAATGTTATTTTGGATCACATTTTTAGTAAAGTACTTTTGGGGGTTGAGTCCCATCCGGGAGTCGAACCAACACTGCCAGAGTGAGGCATCTAATCGCCAGCACAAAGTCAGCGATCTAACTCACTCAGCCACCGAGTCTTCAACAAAAATGAAAGTCCGATAACTGGTAGTCTAGATCACGTACTTTGTGCTCCCCTCTGTGTGTTCGTCGCCTGTAATTGAGTAATGAGGGTAAAAAATAATTTTTTTACCATTTTTAATATATCGGTGCTTGCCTTTTGGTGCTGAGACTTGTAGTGTTGTTTTGGTCCATATGATGACGACGATGATGATGTAACACACTGCGATGATGACGGCAGGAATGAAGAAGAGGACGATAGCAATTATCGTGATGTACGGCTGAAAAGAATATGAACATCCTTTTATATTATCCGTCAATGAGATCGAAGGATTGCTTTTGTACACCAGAGAAAAAACCCTGGATGTAGAAGTACAGTGAAACCTTAATGCGGACCCGTTTATCCGGACACTTGCTCACGATGTCAGTACAACCTCCTCCTATACAATAACCATGATTCATTAATCGAGACCAGAAACGTCGCATGTCTGATTAACGAGGTTTCACTTTATAACCGTTATCTTGGCAAATAATCGTGCAGAAACTTTAAACCGCATAGAATGATGCCCACAAAAGCGTTTGGTCCTAGATTAAAGCTTGCAATGTAGACTTAGTATATACTATCAAACCGTCATCCTCTATTCGATTGTCACCGCGAGACAGCTGCAAAATTGCTGATAAGCGTTAAGCAATAATCACTCACTCACTCTATTCGATTGCTTAATAAGGCTACATTTAATCTGTATAATCATGTGGACGATTGCACACTTAAAAGCATTCATAGTTTCGGGAAAGTACTTTGGTGATGGGAAGCATATATCTTGGAGGATTGGCACTTATTACAAAAGTATAATTTAATACATCAAGCCAGCGCCATGTATACCATAGACAGCAATAAGATCGCTTACCGTACCCATAACAATCTCATAAAATGGCGTGATTAAATTGGAAGTATATACTCTAGATACCGATGACTCGAGACAGACTGTTTTATGACACGTATTATAGTTGGTAGTCCCCACAGAGGAAGGTACATGTTCCCTCACCCAGACCTAGCTTACATCGTAAACAAAGATGCATGTATGTAGGAGATAAGACAACTACGACGTTGCATGAACAAAAATGACAAATAAGATTAAAACATATCAATAAAAGACATAATGTTCTGCAGATCACCTGAATATTTTGATACTTGCAACATGATTGGACTATGTTAAGTAATAAGAATTCAAGTTGTAAATACGATTAAATACACTCTCGATGGAATCATCCGTACAAATATTCAGTGTAATGATTCGTGTAGCCTCAGAGGAAAAGGGAATGTCTATGAGACAATGCCCCGTGGCATTCAAGTTAATGGGTAGTTAAGTTGGAGTCAAAGGAGTATTAACGTTGGAATGGTAAAGATCAAGGAACTTTTAAAACGATTCTTATTTCCAAATAAACACATTATTAATCGGTGATAAGAAAGGCGATCAAAATTGGTACGTGCATTTTTCTGTATCTATTTTCCGTAACCCCCAAGGTAAGGGTGGATATAAAATTACGACCAGTAATGTGCCCATTACATTTAAAGAAAAACATAGACCCAACCCTGAGCCATAAGCAAGTGCTACATTATGACAGCTAAGAAATTAAATCCTTTTCTAAAAAATCAAATTTTACCATGCTATCATTATTCAGGAAGAAACATTACATCTTAATAAAGTATTTATGTTTTCATGAATATTTTTAAGATCAGAGCATAAGCTACTAGAAAGATTGACAATCCCTTTAGCGTAAAAATAAATTTTGCTGCATCAGTGCAGATTAATCTTTCAATAGCAATCCATTTATTTTTTACAATAGGAAAAATGAAAAGCAATCAGCTGTAATTGATTTACACCCTGTCCTATTGTTATCCCCGAAAAACTACGCCTCAGAAGAGAATAAGGGATGTTCAACTCAAAAGAAATTATAATTCTATTTACGTTTCTATTTAAGTAAATGATTTAATTACGTTGGTGTATAAATAAAGGAATTAATCGACTTTCTACGATTCACAGAAAATGCTTGAATATCGCCCACCAGACAGAATACTGAAAAGGAAAGATGTTTTTGCACGCTTTCAACAGAGCAAACGTCCAGGAATCTGGTGTCCTGAAGTGTGAAGACACAAAGTAGATAGGAAATTGGCACCTAACTGGCACCCCTGTTGGTATTCCGTGCGAAAATATTGGAATAATTGGCAAAATTCTCAACAAATAAGGAAGGGATTTCAAGATTACAGCGAGGGTTATCAAATCGCGGCTCCAATTTGCCACCATCTTTGGTAGCATAACAGTCTTCAGTCAATTTTGCACACTTTTACGTGGCCCAGGCCCTCAAATGTGAAAAGTAAGCCAGCACTGTTGGCCCAAATCAGTCTGAAAAACTAGTTTTGAATGAAATCCGTAATCTTAGGGTTAGGATCAATTGACTGGAAAGTCGTATCGATTTTGGCATACTGCTTGTCAGACAACTGCTAACAAGGAAAGGTAATTACATTGGCGCACCAAATGATGTTTAGGTATCTCTCTGTCAGGATCGATCGAAAAGGAGGTCAGTTTATAGGAAATACTTTCCTTACAACTCTTGTTTTGACGACTTAATTCTGCTGATATATTGATGGCTTCCTATGACATACATTATATATCGACCTGAGTTGTTTTGTGAGGAAACGTTGACATGATACCACCTTCCCTCATAATTGAGTACAATACAATAAATTGCAAATGCAATAATTCCTCTTCAGAGACTAATAAAATTGTCTTTTTACCGAATGGCAGGCACCATTTAACCTTTTCTTTTAGTTATTGACGCGATTCGTGATAAGTGTAAGATATTTTCAAAAAAGAAGAAACATAAAAAAACGAACCCGCCCGAGATAAAACTGATAAACTACACAGCAGAAAAAGTAGGATGGGAATAATTGAATTCAAATGTGTTAGTTACTGTTTTTGTAGTCGGATTTTTTTATTTGCGTTTTGCCAGAGCTTCTGACCTTTATACAATCTTAGCAAGTTAAATGGAGGAACCCGTTAAGATCCTGGTTCGTAACCCATGTTTGCTGGGAAAGGTGACCATGCTGGTCGTAAGAGGCGACTAACGGGATTGGGTGATCAGGCCCGCTGACTTGGTTTCTGCATGACATTTTATCCCAATTTATCCCGATGCTCATGATATCACTTGTCTGGTCCAGACACGATTATTTACAGACCGCCGTCATAAAGCTGTAATATTGCTGAGTGTGACGTTAAACAACACAAAAACAAACAAAGTTAAAGAAACTAGGAACTAACATGGTGTTTGTTTCCTCATGTACATTCTCAATATATATACATACTTTGTAATGGAACTATAAACGTTGGTGTCACTGTTCAGACATAGCAAAGATAAAATACTTTTCCTTTAAATTTGTTATGGAAGTTGTTGGAATGTGGTGAGAAAACTTGTTAAGCATGCTAGCGGAAATCGCTGTGTCCGAGCAAGAGAAAGATTCGATAAGCATTGTTCCATTGTTTATGTATAAAACATATTCACAACAGTGCTCCAACACAGCTCTAATACTGACAATGACTGATCATTATTTGTTATGAATTTAATAAATAATATTCGGATAACGTAATATAACTTAATATTATAATATTCGGATAACTTAATTAAAATTGAACTTGCACATTTCCATTTAAAAACATTGGAATATTTACATGTTGTTTTCAGTGCTTTAAATTTCTGCTGTTCTTTAAACATCCATAACGAAACCGTTGATATGATTTAAATCCACTAAACAACCAACGTCAAATCACTTTTAGGATAGCAGCGTGAAATATATGAAAATGAATGGATGTTTGGAAACTTGATTGTATTATACACACAAAAACAAAGCTTCCTTTAACTCATTTTATGCTCCACGCTGTTTCTGGTACTAAAGTCTTTGATTCCACTTAAGAACTTTGCATAACAATTATACCAATCATATTTGTAAAGAGGTACACAGACATAAAGAAAATGGACAATTCTCAACGTTTAGTTATCCTAATATTTCTCCACTATTAATTCCAATCGTTGTGTACATAAAGATGAATCATATCTATCCAAGAATGGCAGAGTAGTTATTGACTAGAGATGCTGCAATCTCGCGAGACCTAGTGGCAAATAACATTAACTGACCCAGCAAATGCCATTACGATTTCAGAGACTCAGTTACGGCACCAGAAATCGGCACGGATGTCGCAAAAATGTGCAGTGCAAACACTCGAGAGTACTTTTCGCTTAGGCCTGGCCTTTCAAGGCCTTGTTTTCAGAGGGACTGCCCGAGGCGTTGGCTGTAAGTTAAAGGTCATAGTCTAATTAGCAATATCGTACAACCAGGTCGCGTCAGACCAAAACACACATGATGTAATCGACGGTGTAAAGAACACGCTAGCATAGTGGTTAAGGCCGTTATTTTCTGAAGCACAAATTATCTTATTCATATTATAACAAAATAAACATCAACAATATCTGAATCATGAAACACATATTCTATTATCGTGACCCAAACATCTGCAAACCAACCGAACATATTGTTTAAAAACTTAACGCCGCACTCAACAATATTTCAGGTATGTGAAGACGGTCTGTACATAATCGAGTCTGGATAAGGCAATCCAGTGATTGACATCATGAGCATCGATCTATACAATTGGGATACCATACGATGACCCAGTCAGCGATCGGACCACCATTAAAGCCTAGGTTACCGAAGGCCTATTCTAATCCGGAATCTTCACGGGACTTAAAAAATGTAAAACGTGTGAGAAAAGGATAAACGAATATATACTTATCCCACTTAAGAAACTTTCGAGACATTTAAAGGGGGACTGTTGAAGCGGATTTCATGAATAGTTCTCCCGTTAGATCTGTCAAAAAGTTGTTTAAATGTTAGTGAGTGATTGAGTGAGTGAGTGAGCTGGGTTTCACGCTGCTTTTAACAGTATTCCAGTTATATCGCGGCGTGTCAGCTTAATGTTGGAGGAAAGCCCGAAGTGATGCAGGTCTTAGACGTTTTCCACTTCGGTCAAACCCACGAGCACGGGTATGGTGCTGACAAACCTAGAAACATAATCGGGGCAAACCGGGATTCGAACCCACAATCATACGTTTCTGGCATGCCCAAGGGACGCAACTCTGCACAACGAATCGCGGCGCCTTAGACGACAGGGCCACCCGTTCCCCCGGTTCAAATGTTAAGTTCTTTCAGGAGATGTACAGTAAACCAGTGTCTGAATCTTCAGTATCACTTGGCTGACAGCCAGGCAGTCGTTCCGTTTAAAAGCTGAACTGTTGCAATACGCGCTTGAACCTTCACTGAACCCTTGTTCACTCGATTCACAGGTGTTCGGGACAAGCAGGCCACTAAAATTTGATATGAAAGTAATGTTTCTTGAATTATAACAAATACAATCGTGTGGCCATCGGGCGTTAACCGCAAGACTATTAGAGATTTTCAAAAAATGTATTTTCATTATTTTATTTGACATTATGAACGATGCTGCGAATACTGTCCTTGTAACGAATAATAGGGTCATTTATAGTTTTTTTGAACATTTTAAATATTCTTTCACCGGCATTCTTTAGATGGACGCGCAATTAGCGCCCTTTTGATAATGATATCCACATTTGGTCAATTTCGTTACCACCTAGATAGTGCAAATATAATGCCTGATAACATGTATATAATGCTTGATAAATTAATATGTTAGCAACCTAAACTGCTGATCAAAAGAAAGTAAACATCGACTCGGGCTGGTTTTAAAAAGAAAACGCGAAATGTACACATTTCATTTGAAATTATTTTAAAGTTTAATAATTTATGTACAATTAGCCTAAGGACAATTACATGGCAATAGGAATGGATTTACAAAAAGATGATGAAAGTCTGATAACAAAGCTTCTGAACGTTTCGACAGAACCTCGATAATGGCATCAATATCATTTATCATACCCCCAAGTCCGAAACATGAAATCTTATTGGTTCAATTGATCTTGCTAAAATAGTATGTATCCCACCTGGGAGGGAAAACATATCTGAGCGGAAAAATAAATTCCTTATACCCCGCCACGAAGAAGAATCTGTTTTATTATTTTACAAAGGCAGATTGAAACATGTGGCTAAGACAACTCCGTTGTAGCTGTATCACTTGGGGTACATGTGTTTTATTCGTCCCTCGTTAGGTTTTATACCGGAATTCAGTTTCCTTTAGCAAAGGTTTTAATATATAAAAAAGATGAAAAATAAAAGATATAACGTTTTGAATGTTTTAAGAGAAAACCGAAATTATTATGAATTACCTGATCACACATATTGCACAATATGTAGTTCAAGAAGATGTTGGGAAATGATCATGATGTTACCTCGAGCTTTTCCGTTAATGTCACTCGGCTTGGGCCGAGCTGAAACGGAAATGCCCGAAGGCGTCCGAGAGGAGAGATAATTAAAGCTGACGAAAAAGGGACTCACAACATGTTTTGTTCTCTCGGGCCTGAAGGTGTACCATATTGCCCAAGACTGTCTGTTTGTACTGAGTGCTTTCAGTGAAATTTAATACTTAATACATCCGATGATAAGAGGACAAAGAGGATACTTCGTCCCATATGAATAGGAATATAAAAAGCAACAATGTTGTCATGAAATGGTCTTTGCATGAGCGTCCATTGTAATCAGACGTGATAATTAGGAAATGGCTAACAAGCTGAGATCTCGGAAGGATTATATGTCTGGGAGGCATCGCGTATCCTATATTACAGAAAGATCGATTCACGAAGGACAGATAGGAGAATGTGTATGATAATCCAACATAAAATTACTCAAAATAAGATCTGGCTGAAACTGATCAGTACTCACTAACTGTCTTGAATCTGAATTGTCAAATTGTGTGTGTTTTTTCACGCCCCAATCAACAATATTACAGCTATTTGACAACGACCTATGAATAATCGAGCCTGGACCAGACAATCAAATGAGAAACATTTGAACCGGATTGCTCTGTTGCTTCTGTATAAAACATATCCATGATGGTCTTACCACATTGTTCTGAGTAAGTGAGTGAGTATGATTTTACGCCGCTTTTAGCAATATTCCAGTAATATCACTGCGGGGGACACCAGAATGGGCTTCACGCATTGTACCCATGTTGGGGATCGAACCCGGGTCTTCGGCGTAATAAGCGAACGCTTTAACCACCGACGGCCCCACATTGTTCTGATGTTGAAATGGCCAATCATTATTCTTCACAGATTTATTAAGTGTTATTTGAATTTGTATTTTTCCATTTCATAAACATTGAAGGATTAACATGATTTGTGCAGTGTTTCAAATCCAATTGGTTTTTTTTCTTTAAACATCCATAATTAATCCTTATGAGATTTTTTAGTTTTGTTGAATCCAATAAACCTCCCAGTACTGTTTACTACTTACCAAATACTCTGAATTATATGTTATACACATTAATCAATCAATATGACCATCAACAAATCGTTCACTGTACATTGAAAGTCGGATTCGAACCTATTGCACAACTGCAGGTGGCAGTGGCAGCTTCTTCATTGGTCCAATGTTTCCGAGGAGATGTGTTCACCTTGTGAGTTAATGCAGCTTGAGACAATTTATGAGCAGGGTCAAAGAAAGATGAAATATCGCGAAAAAAGGAACTGAGGAGTGGCCATAGAAAATGTCTGCCGTCGCGGATATATTAATAATCGGATTCGAACCTCTTGAACAAAGTGGGATGTCAGCACTGGCTAAAACAAGCGTATGACGTTTCAGCTTCATTGGTTCAGTGGTCTCCGAGGAGATGTTTTCAACGGACGACGCACGCAAACAGGACTTAAGCTCTCTTCAATCAGGTGAGCTAGAAATTATTCAAAGTTATTACAAAAATGCAGATATAATGTATTTTTTCGGTTAAACTGTTGACTGTGTCTGGTGTCTTGTAAGTGATATGTAATATATTATCAAAACCGTCTTTTCAGGATAATTTTCAAACTTACCTTCCAAAACCAGGGTTCTGGGAACTCAATCCAACATTGGCAACTTCCGTCTATAATTTTGGTTTCGTTGATAATCAGCATGGGTAGGGAAAACAGCATAGCAGAAGCCCACGAGAGACCAACCAGGACACGTGATCGAAGATCTGAAAACAAAATGTTTCTTTCAGCTTTTGTTGGTGTTATAGGCACCATTAGTAATGTTATACATATGCATACAAGGTCATTTAGGCTTGCAAGATCTGCATAATTTACCAAAATAGAGAGACATTCAAAAATAATTATGATTCCTATTAAAGTGTTAGGGAATTAAAACACAACATTAAATGAATAGTTAAAGCTAAAATAATGTCCCTAAGACTGATCATGAAGGGTTTTGATGAAGTGTTTTTCTAATAGTTTAACATGTTCGATTCCCGACATGGGTACAATGTGTGAAGCCCATTTGTGGTGTCCCCCGCCGTGATATTGCTGGAATCAAGCTAAAAGCGGCGTAAAACCATACTCACTCACTCATTCACTTTGTCATCAGCTGATATTTCTAGGATATGTAGATAACAACTTTGGTCTCTTAGATTTCTATTACAAATCAACAATGGATGAGTCAATGCATTTTAGCGATATTCCAGCCATATCACAAGGGGGAAGGGTGTTCCTGTGTGGTGGAAATGAGATTCACACATTGAGGGATCGAATATAATGTCCATGAACTATACTGTTACTGAGCACGGAAACCGTCTCTGCCCGGAGAGCGGAAGGTCGGGGGCCGCGTCACACAAAAAGACGTTAAAAGTATCGTACTTATTGTTACCGTGCCAGGCGCCCGGCATTGAGGGGATAAAACATGCACTGGTCGGCTTTGGGTCAGTATACTGTGTCTGAGTGGGATATCCATGTTAAACAGTGACACGGTATATCATTGCGCTGGCACTATGAAACCTGCATCAGTCCAGACTACAAGAAGAAGCCATGCACACACACGCACGCACACGCACACGCACACACACGCTCACTAAATGAGCGCAATATTCTCCCATTCACCCAATCTCATGAAACGCTTGGTAGCGTGTTCTCGTAGTTGTCGCCTGGCGAGGATCCTTGTTAATTTCTGTGAAGCAATGGTTTGTCTGTCCGGGATTCATTTCTTGGAGACTACGTCTCCTAGGTCTAGTGGTAGTGCGTCTGCCCGAAGAGCAGAAGGTCGTGGGTTCGATACCCGACCGCGTCAAACCAAAAAACGTTAACAGATGGTACTTGTTGTTACCCTGCCTGGCTCTCGACAATAATGGGCTAAAACAAGGACTGGTCGGCTCGGAGTCAGTATACTGTGTCTGAGTGGAGGTATTCATGATAAAATGCAGCACGGTATCTCAGTGGCCTTGCACTATAAAATCGGACAATATTAATGAGTGCAATAATTTTGAGCGCGGCGTTCAACCCCATTTCACCTCATCTCACCGTTACTTGCTAACTGCGGCGTAAAACAACAATAACATGCTTGCCATTAGGTGATTAATAAATTGCTCAAGTGAAGCTTGGAAGAATTCTTGTGAATATTTACTTTAGTATATATAATACCGTTGTGAATACGCCCAAATAAGGTTTTAAGTCAGCAAAGGTGTTTTTTTTCTAATCCGAGCCCTCTAAAATCGAACAAGGCACTCCTGAACTAACGGTTTTCAAACTGTCTCGAAATGTTAACGAAGGCATTTAAGAAACATCCTATTGTGTTTCAGGTATTGGAAGAGACCGCAAATAAGGGAAAACTACTTTGAACAACAAGTACTAACCAAGGACATCCAAAGGAGTGAAAAATTAGCTCAATATCACAACCATGCCTATACAAGAGCTCCACACAGCGTTTACGAGGCGTACGAGGACGTCGAACCATACGGAGAAAATCAAATCCCGCGCTTGAGCGATTACTGTGACAAACTTCCGTCCAATTACAGGCCAGGGACGAGAATGTAAGATCCATTTGTGTCGCCGACATCAGAAAAGAAAGGGGATGTCACTTTTCGGATCTTATAAAGAACTCTATTATCGATTTTCATTTTCCAAGTTAATATTCCAACGCCGTTGACGTTCACTGGGTGGACCTAAAAGTAGCTCATCTGTTGGAGGCCAACCACGCATATCTCACATAAAACAGATGAAGTTGTTTTATTTTGGTAATTTGTAAAATAGTGTGATAAATATAAATATAATTACGTTTATGTTTACCATAACAGTAAGGCATCAGCACATCTTACACTACGCTGCCGAGGCCAGAAAACGAAGGAGTTCATAATTATATTTCAGACTTGAGAGTTCATCACTATTTACATAAGATCAATTTATGCTTAAAATCTCGTTTTGCAAAGCTAACTAACTAATATTCTTAAATTCCCTTTCTCTTCAGAACAGATGCATTGAATACTAAGTATTTGAAATTATATTTTTTTAATTCACAAGAATTATTCCGATACGGAATGTATGGTTTCATAGATTGACCAGTCCTCTTACGATACGTAACAAATCACGTGCTGAGATATACCAAGTACATGTAGTATTTATTAACAAGAACGTTTCAAAAAATATTTTTCTTTTAATTCTGCAATCTCTAATAGGGAATGAAAAGAATGAAATGTCACCATATCTTGTGTAAAACAAGCAACAAGTTGCAAGAAACTTTCAATGTATTTCAATTTTAATTTTAAAAAAAATCGATATCATTATACTTTGAATCTTCCCAACAAGTGAAGAATATTTTGGATTAAGTGCTTCGTGAACACCTGGTCTCGTCTCCATTTCAAGTGCTTCATTGACGCAAGCTAATGATATACATTGAAGTCAGAATCGTACAATGGACTCGTTTTTATTTTAACGATCACAATATGAACTATGTGAACATAATCACAGTTACATTAAAGCGTAATACTGTGGATACTGTAGCATGGTCAAGAGGTCTGTTAGCGATCAGTCAGAGACCAGTCCCATTCAACGACTCTCTGATGTCTCCCGTTGTGATATTTTATCGAAGTTTTCTTGAAACGGCGAAATCCCACTCCCTCTTTTTGTCCTTGTGATGACCTACGTCATACACCTTGGAAAGGTAATCAATTATTTTTGGCAAATTAACGTACAGGTATAGATAGATACATGTCATTGTCGAACAGAAGCATGATATATCCTAGTCAACCTCCGATAATTGTATATCGTATTTGTGGAATACAGAAGTAATTCTTCTAATTCTGTTATATGATCTCTACAATGCTCATGTTAGTGGTATTAATTTGATGGCTATTAAGGGAACAAGCCCACATGATACACATGAAACAAGAGTTGACCTTTCAGATAAATGAGGTATCTGCCATAAAATGAAACAGGTCACGTCAGAATGCTGTTCAGATGTCCTACACCAGGAAACAGGCAGTAGATTCGAACCACATCAAAATTTCATTTCCTCATAAAAGAGGTCAGTAACTGTGATTCATGAAGGTATTCTTGCGTTCGCCAAAGGCAAGACTGTTTTGTGAAAATGCCTCTAACTGCTACTTCGTTTACAATAATATGCCAACCTCTTCGATGACATGAGCTGGTATGTGGCCTTTGTTACAGTAACACTGCACTTGAGTTGGAATAAGCAAGGGCAAGAGTATCATATATTACCAGAGGTAATGCTTAGAAAATTGTTTTCCGATCCCATAATTCATCAATTAACTTTCCAATTAAGGTTGAGATTAGTTATCGATCACCTAATCAGGTGAATACTTCGTAAGATACTCAATTTGAAAGTGTTTGTAAAATCACCTCTTCTCGGAAGAATTTATGGTTGCAATACTTGTAGGTTACTTGTATAATTATATCATTTTGTACTTATACCCCATGTGTATATATAGCATATGACACATAAACATTAGACCACAATACGTTTTGAAGAGGCGGGTACCTATAAGGGAACGCGTGGACAGTTAAAAGCTCGCCAAGTGTTGCCAATTCAAGTATTGATATATGTCAGTTTTCAATCATATTGACATATCCGATAACTCTGATTTCAACTATTTGGATAGGTTTTCTTCATTTGACATTTGAGGAAAACTGAAAACGGGACTTATAATACCTCGTTCTTTGAAACTGAAAACAATAGAAAAGTGAATATGTATCAATGAGCGAGAAAACAAATTAAGAAAGACGTTTCACTGCAACGATTTGTGTTCTTGTTCATAATACTGAGCAGATGGTGCGTGAGTTGTGTGGTATCTTGGATCATTTTTCGGTGGTAGGGAATCCCGAAGTAACCCACGTCGTGGACGCTTGCAACGTTGTTGAAACTCACGATGAGTCCACAAGATCATAATTATTTACGTTACATAGATGACGTCATATGTTGCCCTGGCAACTTAACTGAACTCCATAACTCATGAAAACCTTTTGTAACACGTTTTGAAGTCAAGTGTGAAGTCGAAAAATACTTACGGCTTCCAGTGAAACTAAGTGGTCTTGCGATTGCGTCAAGCCGGTCGATGCTAAGGGCTACGAGTGCGTACGTTGATGCGTAAGTGACCACGCCCATGAAGTACCTCACCAGCTTACACCCAACAAGACCAGCATGCCAGTCGATTGTCGTCTTCCATATCATGTCTGTGAACACATTCACGAGTCCCGCCGACAAATCTGAAAAAAAAGTAATGAGAACAGTGAGAGAGTAACACTGGACTCGACGTCTTCCATGACGGCGTGTCAGATTAATGTGAGAGAAAACCCGAAATGATGCAGCTCTCAGACGTTTACCATTTTGGACAAACCCATCAGCACGGATATGGTGCTGACAAAGCATATTCGGACCCCACGATCATAGGTTTCGGACATGCTCAAGGAAACTTTTCTCCGTGAAATGCATTGATGAAAATACAATCATTTATAAAAGAAGACAATGTTATGTTTTATTTTGTCTTCACGACATGTACGAAGACAATTGAAAGGTAACTGTGGCATTCAGCAACACGAGAACTACAGGGTAACAGGAATGATGTTCTCAAAAGGCACTTTATGCCTTCGTTTTGTTAAAGACTATATATACTGAACCAAATTAAAAACTTCACAATCCTAAAATTTTAACATTTTGACCAGTTATCATTGTGGGCCCTTATTGTGTATTTAAACTGTAATGGCCACGTATTGTCTTCAGATAACACCCGTTTTTGTGCAGGTGAATCGATCAAAATCATTGTGCACAGCACTATAGTGGCAAAAAAGGTTTTTCACGTGCAACTGGTCACGTGGCCATAATACCGCACGTGTTTTCAGCCATACTTGTCAGCAGTCATTAACAAAAAAAGAAAAACACAAGAAAACAAAAGTCTTTACGGCCATTTGTCATGCCACGCCTTTCAAATGTGCAACGTGAACGTGCCATCGGCATGTAGCAGACGGGAACGTCCGTAGCTGAATTACAGACGCGTCTACAGCAAACGGGTATCACCGCTGATCGCCCTCGGCCAGGTCGACCACGTGTGACGTCACATGCAGAGGATCGTCAGATTGTCTTACGTCACCTCCGTAACCGATTATTGACGGCTACATCAACCAGAAATGAACTGTTTAGGGGTAGACTGAATGCGCAAACTGTTCGAAACTGCTGAGAACTGCTCACCTTCAAGCACGACGGCCATACTGCGGGCCGATTCTGACTCAAATACACAGACGTCAACGTCAATTTTTGGCACAGCGACACTTACGATGGACTCAGAGGAATTGGAATCAAGTCGTCTTCAGTGATGAATCCCGATTTAATCTTCGATTTGCTGATGGTAGGACGAGGGTGTGGAGGCGCCGTCAAGAACGTTACGCCCAGTGTTGTGTACAGGAAGTTGATAGATTTCGAGGCGGAAGTGTCATGGTGTGGGGTGCTTTCTGTGGCAATGCACGTTCCAGGCTTCTTGTCATCCGTGGAAACCTCAACGCTGCTGCTTACCGCGACCAGGTGCTGGCACCAGAACTTCTGCCTTTTATGGCAGCACATGGACCCGGTTTGATCTTCCAACACGACAATGCCAGACCCCACACAGCAATTTTGACAAGGAATTTCCTTCAGAATGCGGGAGTCAACGTCATGGACTGGCCGTCAAGGTCTCCCTACCTCAATCCCATCGAACACGTCTGGGATGCTCTTGGCAGAAGTCTGCGCACTCTCCAGAACCAACAACAGAATTTGCAAGATCCTGGCACCATTTTGCAGCAACAATTGCGTCGTCTTCCCAACCATGTGTTCACAAGCATCACAAGGTCCATGCGGAGGCGTTGTGTGGCAGTTGTCAACGCACATGGTGGCCATACACTCTACTGAACTTGTGTGCCATCAGATTCTCGTGCTTGGGACTTATGATTTAAACTGTTGATGTTATTACCGAATACCGTAGGTGCTTGGAACAAATTATGGTTACCACCGTTAATTAAAAGTTTTTAGCATAGTTCATGTGTCCTGTATTTTGAAAAGATTTAACATACAACATTACGAAACATGGCAGAATACACGAGCTCACTGATGCTACCCTGGAAACGAGTCCCCAGCCATAGCTGGTTCCGACAGTAATTGCTGAATAAACAACATTTTGTAAAACATGTTGCGGACTGCTTGCATGTGTCTGCTTTCAAAGTCGACTATAATCCCGTGCAAACATGGGCCGACATGTTCAATATTTTTTCATGCAATTCTAGTAATTAAGAGACAAGGCGCCTTTTCATACACACCTCCCATTTAACTGTCAATTGTCATTGAAATAACGGACCGTTAACGTGGTTTCAGAGTGCATCGTAATCTAACGATTTTAGAAATTCAATTATCTTTCCTTCAAATGATTCAACAGATATAAAAGAAATCTCATGTAAATTCATGAATAATTTTTTGAGGGGTCGTTTAAGATAAATATGGCTACAGTGTTGTCCATAACTTACGATCTCTTTGCACAAACCGATCTTAGTCCCATCCTTTGATATTGACTAAGATGATCGACTTGTGATGCAGAGCCCAGATATATTATTATGTGTAAAATGCTGTAGCCTTATTCATCGAAAACGGTATCAGTTTAATAACTAATTCAAATGGACACGCAGTCAAATTTAATGAACAAAATAAATCGAAATAATTTTATATATTTCAACATATATTATATTCATTATTATTATAAGCTATAATAGGTTATGTCCAAGTTTGTCATGTTCATAAGTATGTACATGGGTAATCATACTACTAGAATTATGCCCTTGTGTGGAAGGCGGTGGGATAGCTTAGTGGTTAACCGTTCGCTCGTCGTGTCGAAAGCCTGGGTTCCATTCTCCACATGTATACGACATAAGTTGTAGGAGTATCACTCAGGGTACAGGTGGTTTTATGCGTACCGCGTTAGGTTTTATATCACGAACCAGGCATTGTAAAAGAATTAAAATAAGTTCAAAATTGATACAAAACAGCTGTTCGATTAAGCTGAGGTTAACTTGTGCTATGTCACGTGACTTTCACTGACTCGGAAAAATCATTCAGCTTTTTGTTTCGAAGCGGGGTATAAGGGATTTATTCCCCCGCTGAGAAATGTATTGCCCTCCAATACATAGTAATTTATCACGATCACGTGGACCAATCAGATCCCATCATTCTGACTTGGAGGCATGATAATGTGCGTCCATATCTATTGCAAAAAACGGCGAAAAGCCCAACTCACTCACTCACTTAATCGCCTTGGGTATACCGGATCACAGTAGGCCCCAAATAGTCCATGACTAAGAAATCGGGCGAAGAAACTCCTTAACATTTACACTACATGGGACTAAAAATGAATCACTGGTTTGTCTGGTCCTGACACTTGATGACTGCGGCCAAAAAACAAGCTCAATACAATATGCGAACTATGTACATCGTTACACCACAAACGACACATATCACACACATCCTATTTCATTTTAACTCTAAGAATCATAAACATGTTGAAACCAAACTAATGCTTTTATTTGAGACTTCCAGAATGTAGAAAATGATACATTGATACTGGGTTATATAAAGTGAATTATCTCATCCCAATAACCAATGAATGTGACATTAAGTCAAATTAAAAAGGAATAAGCTTAATTCGCCAAAACAGCAATTTTTTTGTTTTGAATAGCATTTGATGGTGAGCAGTTGATCTGCGGCAAGCCTCCGTTGCCTTTGCCCAAACACTCCATGATATGAATAAAGATTGATGGATGGGTCGATCTTAGGTTTGCATACTGAGTAGCAAGATATTGAGATTGTTGTAAGAAAACACTATCAACAAAACCGTTTCTTCATCTTTGTAGGGCCTATTCATCAATGTCATTATTGTCAAACTGACAAAAATCTAAGATAAATATGATAGGAAAAGGCAATGAGTGTTGTTTGAATATGTTCTACTGTTTTCCAACAATTTCACCCAGAACATATTGATTTGTGTGCATTAGTATTATTAAACTCGACAAGATTCTATTGGATGGAATAAATTAACAGTGGCATAGGGAGAGTTGGCTTTGTAATTGATGCCCAATGTTCCAGTCTTTTCAGTGTCAATATTTATTTATCCTCCGTAATGCATGTTTTATTGTCTGGTAATTCTCATTATACACTATTACTAATAATCTGTGTCAGCTTTCCTCAGATCCGCGCAGGTGTCGTTGTTTGTGTAAACCTAAACATATTGTACGTTATCTGTCATTTATTTTGTCATCAAGGAAGTTACGTTGATCCGAACATAACCTTGGATTAATGATGGCGCCTGCACAGGCCCATTGTAAAATTACTTCCAGAAAACTGCTCTTCACTAAATCTCAAAACAGTTGGAGTTCATACTGTATCAATACAGAACGTCCAGAAACTGCTGCCTTGGAAGCGTCGAGAATAATTTAGTTTTCCGAAAGTTGATAACAGTAAACAAGTGAAGTTCTTCATAGCAAAGATCTAAAACACCGGGAGGGTAAATGAAAAACAACGCTAGAGAATAACCAGCTTCAACTATCCGCTGAAACTGATTTCATTTCGTTTAACATGCAAAATAACTGTGAACATAATATGAATGAGTAAGTCAGTAAATATGTATACGTCCATAGTTAGGATATAACTTCTGATAATTAAGAGGTACATGAGGTGAATCTATGTTATGTACTGGACACCCGATCCATGAAGTTCCGGGTTACAATGGGCCTTCAGCAACCCATGCTTGCCGTGAGAGGCAAATATGCTTGTCGTAAGAGGCGACTAACGGAATCGGGTTGTCAGGCGCGCTGATTTGGATGATGCATGTCATCGCATCCTAATTGCGTGGACCGATGCTCATGATATCAATCACTGGATTCTCTAATTCCAGACTTGATTACTTACAGACCGCCGTCATATAGCTGGAATATTGCTGAGTGCGAATTAAACGACAAACAGACATGACAGGAAAAAGTGGCATCAAGGTTACTAAGATAAGACTTTGTGTACTATAAAAAGTATACATGATCTACCTCGCAAACATATGTGTATGGAAAGCTGTTTACAGTGAAGATTTGTAACAGATGTGTCCATTGTTAGTATGACTGATAGCCCGAGTGTAGTCAATTTGCTGGGTCTCTTGAGAATATTGCCGTTACACCACGGCGCGTCAGCTACATATGGCTTTGTATAC